TAAACTTGGGAGGAAATTGAAAGAATTGGCATTTGAAGAAAGACTAATGAACTGTTTTAAAATACATAACCCAAACAAGAGATTTAAACATGTTAAAATAAAATAGATATTACCTTTGAAAATAAAACACTACAACACACTTTACTATATATAATAGATATTAATACATTTTTGGGCGTAGGTTTGGCCCAACGGCCGCCCCTTGAGTCCTTCTGTGTCAACGATTGACTCTCTATTTATATCAACCTTAACGTGATTATTTTAAAAAGAAACTCGACTTATTTATTTTTAATGATTATTCGCACGATTTGTCCTTTTATTTTCTAGTACAATGAACTATTTCTAATTGTTTGGTTTTAATAAATATGTTGTGTTAATTTAATAGATATTAAAAATATTAGATATTTTTGGGATTTTTGTTAAATTCTTTATATTTTAAAAATAATAATGCCAATTATTACACTAGCTTCAAAAATAATAAAGTTTTTTACTCTTTAATCGGAGCACGTAGAACAAATAAAGGAATCCATTTTATCTTTTCTGGTCAGACCCACACATTCTTCATGTACATATCGCATGCACATGTTGCACAGACGCATACCCATAATCCTGTCCTCGTTGCATAAATGGCAATACCATGTTTCGTCTACCTTCTTAATTGATTTCTTTTTCATTTTATTTTTAGAGATTTCCTCTTGTGATTCTTTCTCTAGATCTTTATATTTAGCAAAAAGATTTTTGGTTACTTGCTGACACGAGGTGTAATCTTTTTTAGTTCTATTTCAGGTGTTGGAAGCAGATCTTTAAAGGTGCCTTTCAACTTTACAACTTTATTTTCTTCTTCTATATTTTGGTCATCTGAAGAAGTGTCATGGATTGAAATATCTTCACTATTCGAACTATCTTCAGTGCTGTAGCTTCTAGATCTTTTCTTTTTGTATGTATTTTTCTGAAGACCAGAAGTTCCTGGCTTATTTGCGATTAATTCCATGACCTGACGTTGTAACACAATTTTTGGTTGTAAAGAAGCTAGGTTCATATTTTCTGGAGATGTATTTTCGTCGTTGTTTGCTTCTCTTCTGCTCAGCTCTGATGGCGCAAAGGCAGTCTCAGGAATTAAATTTGGATTGAAGGGAAATATTCCAGTACCTCTAAATCCCGCCATTACGTTTGCTTGTAAGGCGGCTTTTGGCCAAACGGCAGTAAAATTTTTCCAAATGTAGCTTTATCAATGAGGCGATTAGGTTTGTTGAACCAAAAATTAAAAATTTATTCATCCCAATATGTCTTAAATGGACTGAAAACAGATTTGTCCATTGGTTGAAGCCAGTGTGTTGTGTTGGTTGGTAGATAGTGCAAAACTATGTTGTGTTTATCTGCTTCTTTAACCATGGCACAGTCTAAATGAGATGAAGCACCATCAAATATGAGCAGTACTTTACCTTCCGGTTTAAATTTCGCAAAGTGTTTTATATATTTTGCAAAGGCCTCCGTCGTCATACTACCCTTAGCGGTCATCATAAGAATGGATCCTTGTGGAAGGTTATCCTTCCATTCTGATTTTTCATTGAATCCCTTCATCAAAATCATCGGATGTATTACGTTTCCCAGTGGATTCCCACATGCCACGATTGTGTCATTTTCTGCGTGTTCTTCGGCAATCAGATGAACATTTCTCATCCCTTTTTGAGCTAGTATTTACGGTGCTTTGTGTAGTTTTAGTTGGCATCCCTTTTCATCTAAGTTATAAATTAAATGAAGTTTATCGTGCAAATCTAGCTCAGCGTACAGGTCTCTCAATTTTGCAAAGTGATCATTAACGATAAATTTGTTTAATTTTGCAGCTCTAGTAGCGTTAAGCGGTTGAACCTTTCTTTTCGAAATGTCAGGATTACGTTTTAAAAACAGTGTCATCCACTTGCGCCCAGCCATTTTTTTCTTTTAAAAAAGGATGAGCGATTTTATTTTTCTCACAAAATGTAAAAACGCTTATGCGTAAAACCTTTCCAATCTCTGCTTATATTTTAATTCAAATGGTCAAATCTTTCTCCTGATCTTCAGTCAAAAAAGTACTTCTACCAATTTTTTTCTCCGTACTACCTGTTATCATGTGGTTTCTTAAATCCAAAGTACGCTTTGGTATAGAGTAAAGCCTACTTGCAGCTCGAACACTGAGCTCCCCGCTATACTGACGGAAGCCATTGCTACCTTTAATTGTTGCTGACTCCACATAGCTCTTTTTTTAGGCGGCATGCTGAAATAAAAAAAGAAATCTAATAAAAATATCAATTTAATACTAATAAGGCCCGGGCCTTATTAGTATGCATCAAAAGAAGTCATGTTTTATAAAATAAATATATCCAAAACTTGGTTTTTCTTCAAAGTTTGGTAATAATAACTTCACTATGTTTAAACAAAATATTCAACGACTGATTTCAGTTAATTTTAACTAACAATACTCACCTGTTCCGAAAATATCGACCCAAAGAAAAAAACACGTTTTTAATAAAATAGATAGTTCGATGTTGCACTCGTCACGTTTCTGCCTACACTAGCGAAATAGATGTTTCGACTCTGTCTCAGGTCGAAATAAAGCATAAGTTTAAAATTTAAGGTTTGTTTCTTTGTCCGTTTTTGAATTTTCTTCAAAATTTACACATGAGATATTTAACACCCCCTTTCATAAATTTATAAAGCAATTACTTAGTACTGAGCTTTAATTTTTAATCTTTAATTTTAATGTTTAATGTAATTATTTTATTCAACCTTATTGTCTTTTGTCTTTTAAATCTTTTAAATTCTTAACCTATTTTATGAATTATACCACGATTGTATTTTAACACCATATATATTTCACTATTTTAATTATAATTTTAAAATTGTAATTTATTTCTCAAATGGGCTTGCCCGTTAATAAATAAATAAATAAATTTTCACAAATATCTAGAATACGGTCTATTTTAGAGAAATTATGTATGGGACAAAAATTATAGAGAATTACATCACAAACAACTTTTATTTAAACAATTTTCATAAAAAATTGATTTTTTTACATTTTGTCATATTTCTCGAATAGAAACATTTTGTATAAAACAAAAATAATAGAGAATAATATTATCAGTAACTTTTATTTGAAGAATTTTCTTCTCGAAACGTAAACAACGGATATATGTCATAAATTATAAAAATGACCTCCCATAAAGTACCCCCCCCCCCCAGAAGTTTCGACAGTGCCCAAAATCTAATCAGTTCATCGCAGGCCAGAATAAAGCTTAAGTATGAATTTTGGTGTTTTTCCTTGTATCAGTTAATGAGTTATGGTGGACACACCCACACACAAACACACACACACACACACGCACACACACACACACACACACACAAATACACACACACACACACCCGCACACCCGCACACCCGCACACACACACACACACACACACACACACACACACCACACACACACACACACACACACACACACACACACACACACACACACACAATGGAATAAATTAAATTTTTGGCGGTCACTTGAAAATGAGGTACCTGAAAGAACCTTAACACCGGCAATACCTACCTTACTCTAAACGGTGTAACTCCCTCGTACCTTTTACTTTATAAGTTTATAAGTTTATACGAAATAATATATTTAAAACGGTAACCACGATGGAACAATACGAAACCCAAAGCCAGTTAAAAATATAGTCAACCTAATGAAAAATTCTAACCAAAAAAAACCAAAACAAAAATAAACTAAATATAAATCAATAAAGACGGATATTCTTAATAAGCGGTGAAAAGATAAGTTAATTAAGAGTATAATTAACCAAATGAAAAATATACATTTACTAAATTAAAACTTCATAGAGGTAAATAAAAAAGAAAAAAAAATAAATCACCTAAACGGACATACCTACACCTTTATCAGTGGTGTAACCTCCAGTTTAAGTTAAAATATAATCAACCTAACGAAAATATTTAGAAAATTAAAGCTTCGTAAGAATAAATAAAAAATAAAAGATTTAAATGCGCAATAAATTAAATAAATCTATGATACGGTTGCACACGTAGTTTTCCTACTAAAAGGTAATTAACAATATAGCCACAATCAGTGTTTTTCCTAGGAATTTTTGAATTGTACAATTTTTAGTGTCAAAATTGTACACTTTTACGTTCGATTATACAACCACTAATTAATCTTTTTGTCTTTTTACTGTCAGCCTACGACTTACCACTTGCCAAAGCGTAAAATTAAAAATGATTTCGATTGGTCGCGAATGGCGCCAAATTAAAACTTTAATACATCTATACCGAATTGTAGACTTTTTGAGCAGAAGAAGTCTTTTATATACCAGATTTTAGATAAATATTTAGCACTTCAAACTGTACATTTCTGCCTTTTTTCGGAAGTGCGTACAACACTACAACCATATAAAACTGATTGTACAACATTTTGTACAATTGTACAACCATAACTCAAAATTTGCATGTCGAATGTCTTAGCGTTGGAGTAGCATCGTTATTTAAAAAACTCTACGTATGGAGGTCACATTTTGTGCCGTTTTACGATTAAAGGTTTAACCATGCACATTTTGGGTTATGCCACTTTATTTCTGAGTTTGCGATAATTAACATTAGTAAACTGGATACAATCGTTGTTATTCTAAAATAGTCCTATTTATTTTAATTCAATTCAAATTTAGTGACATCGTCACAGAAGACTATACTAAGTAAACTTAGTTCAAATCAAATAATTATATTTTTATACACTGTCGCGATATCGTAAGATCATATATTACAGCAATAAAGACGTAAATGTTAGGAAGATCATATGCTGATCGAATTGCTGATGTATAACTGAAATGACGCTTGGAAAAAGATATCACCACTGTAGCTTAGCTTTCCTATTTGGGATAGATAATCTGTAATGGTACTAAAAAAAAAATACAATATGCGGAAAACAGTACAATAATACTATTTTTTTACTTTTTTTCAGGTTCGTAATCGGTCAGTATGTGACTGTTCATGGAGACGTAATCAGCCACGTCAATATCAGCCATGTTATGGTGGAAGATGGCGGGGAATACACATGCGCAGCGGAAAATCGGGCAGGACGAAGTTCACATTCGGCCAGACTCAACATTTATGGTAATTAAATAAAAAATAATATAAAACGTTTTCAATTTTTAGTTGGAGAACTTGGATGATTTAATACAATTTTAAACGCCGATTAGACAAGTGACGCTCAAATTAAATTTCATAATTTTATGTATTCCCAACTTACCTATTATTTAAATGTTTAACATTAAAACCTTTAACAGATACCAGGTAATGTAGCCGAGAAACAGTAGGGTACACTTCTAAGGGCCGATCTTTTCTCCTCTGAGTAAAGTTACATGTAGGTTTACTTGACATATTAACAAACAATAGCCCTATAGTTTAATCAGTAAGTAGTTACTTATAACTTTTCTAAGAGGTGAAAAGATTGGCCCTAAATTCGATAAATAAACAAAATAACTTACTTAATAAAATAAACTCAAATGTAATGTCTTGCGTGGAATTATCCTCCTTTTACCATTTTTCCAATTTGTTCTGATATTAAAAAAATATTCGCCGCCTCTTGTGTTTTTCACAGAGTTCATTTCGTAAAGGAATTTCATTAGTAAAAACTAAGTATGTTCCCAAAATAATGTAATCAGTATTTTGTAACTGCCCACCCTCGGTACCTTTTATTTTGATCTTTGTTTTACTCTCTGAAATGTTACTATTTACCTCACAAGTTTATTTTACTTTAAATTATACTTACTGTATTTGGCCTTTTTCCTCTAGTAGTAAAAGTGATCATCTAGTTAAATAATTGATAATTTATATACCCACGTTGTGATAATGTTCGTTAAGGTAAACCAGGATTCGATGCAAAGTTTAGTGCACATTGATAAATAAAACATACAAATTCATATTTAAATTCTTTTTTATTTTTCATACTCTAAATGTGATGCAATAATTAGCAAAGTATATTACAATTGGTACTATTTACTGAGATCTCACTTCGCCAGTTGGTTAACTACTGTGTTGTTGTTTATATTCTTATTTAAGTTGATGACCAACGAAGTTAACGAACAGCGCCAATTCGCCAGTTGGTTAACTATTGTGTTGATGTTGATTTAATTCTATTCTAGATATACACAGGTTGCACCCTCTTAGGTAAATATTTCGACGAGTATAGAGGTGATGACCAACGAAAGTAACGAACAGTACCAATTTGCAAGTTGGTTACTTTACGATGTTGATTTCACATATACTTTGTTTTAAACCTTGTAGAATGGGCGGCTTAGCGTATAGGTCCCCCCTTGAGCTAATGAACAGTTTAATCACCAGTTGGATAACTTACTATTAAACTTCACCATCTTGATTTGTACAATTTATCCAAGATAGCACATCCCTGTATATTTCTAAAATATTGATTTTTAAAATTTCTTTAAAATTAACCTAATACAACCCTGTATGTTTTTTTATATTGATTAATATAATTTCTATTGAAATAACTTCATACAACCCTGTAATTTTTTTTATTTTTATCATTTTTATTGAAATACTCAAAATTTCACCCATCGAAAGAAGATGTTTATCCTAACTGTCTTTCAGGGTGTATAACCTGAAGGCCATGTGGTTTAAACAAAAACCCCGGCGTTACCTCAAAGAAAGTTACATAATTATTTTGACTCACCATTGAAAATACAGACATTAAATTATGTACTAATTTCATCTAGCGTTGTGGCGGCGTCGATTTAGGTACGTCGCAGCGTTGAGCGTCGCCTTGTGTCGATGCGCCTAACGTCGTGGTTGAGAGGAAGGTATTTAATACTGAACTGGGACAGATATACGGTAGAAATATTTAGGAGGTGCGGGGCGTGACGAAGGGTGTCGACAAGGATATTATGAAGGAAATATTTAGGGGTGGCAAGCATTGAGAAGTAGAGCATCGGAAAAAATATGATTATAGAAAATACTAAAGCGGTGTTAGAAGTTATAGCGTAAAAAAGTAGGGGAGTAGAATGGGAGGACGTTGAGCGTCAAGACGTTGACACCTTCGGGGATAGGAGGTATTGTAGGATAGACGTCGTTAAGAAAAAGCGTATATAGCTGGATACAGATAATAACTGACTGCTTGAATGTAAAATATTAAAATGAATGCTTTCACATCAAATAATAAAAATGAATGAATCCGAGCTCATTTGGGTTATAGTTCTTATAGGTACTACGTTTAATGGCTTTTGTGACGTTTCTGTGTGTATTAGTTACCAAAGAAATACGAATGTGGGTGGCTGATTTAATACTTGCCTTGAAAGCTTTGTGTATCGAAATATTGTCGAAGTCGGTCCTAACATCGAAACTAGAAAGATAAGCGAGTTGTATTTCAATGATAATTAATTCTAATAAAGAGTTTTGTTTATTCACTGGCATTAATAATTTTAATATACTGAATGTACTAGAAATTATAGTGAAATCAAGGAAAGATGTGATGAAACAAAAAACTGCAGAGTTGCCAGGGAGCTTTTAAGTTATCCTGGCAACACTGCAGCAAACAAATACTTGACTATGACTAGACAGAATCTGCGCCTAGTCACAGGCATTCTGACTGGTCATTGCCAAGTACGGAAGCATCTCCATATCATGATGCTGTCAGAATCCGCACTCTGTAGCGGGTGCGAAGAAGAAGAAGAAGAGACCATTGAGCATATACTGTACGATTGCTCGAAGCTCTCATTTATTAGAAGATTTTTGTTCGGCGAGTATCGGCTAACACCGGCCGATATAATAGAAGCATCTCTTGGCGACGTTGTCAACTACAATAAATCTGTAGGCTGACTCACGAGATAGAAGGTACCTATCATCTTAGGAGGATGCACAATGGATCTAGTGAAACCTAAGTGTCGTGGGGGGTAACCCACCCTCCACATGTTACAGATACAGATACAGTAAAATCAGTTAAAGGACTTCGGAAGATGGTCTATTGGGCATTGTAACTCAACAAAGTAAACATATTTTGTTGACAGGAAAAATAAAGTTATTGATTTTTATGTTTATTGCCTTTTGTATCAACAGATTTAACTATCCTATTACAGAATAATATTTAAAATATATACAAATTCGAGAGACGCTAACATGGTGGTTTCCACCTTATCGAGATTGATGCCCACAAGGGTAAACTCGTAGCGTAAAAAAAAACGAGAAATAATTTAACTTGGAACGAAAGACCGAAAGCCGATAGTAGTATTAGAACGTAGAATTTTTTGGTTTGTGAAGCATTGACATTACTTAGGTTATACCATGTGATGATTTTCGAAAGCCTTGATTTTTAAAACAATTCCATATCGCCTTTTGATTAGGGTTTACAAACTTCTTCGAGCAATGTATCCAATAATAATAGGCCCCTTTATTTCTTTACCTCATGTAAAATATTTGGGCTCCTTATTTCGCCTATGTATATAATAATAATAAAGGACAGAAGGATGAGTATTGCAACTATGTTAAAAGAAATATATTTGCTTTCAGTTCAGTTATAAAATAAAAATGACAACACCATCGCATCAGATCTATTAGAAAAAAATTCAATATAATTCGCAATATCACAACTATAATACAAGAAGCCAATCTGACTTTAATGTACGGCAAGCCATCACTAAAAGTTCCCAAAATACAATTTTTTAAATGTTTAAAAAAATTTAATAGACTGCCTACAGAAATTAAAAAAAAACAACAATGTATTTAAAAGTAACCTCAAACAATACTTGATAAATAAACAGAACGGATATACTTTGTTGTGATATTACTCTTTAAACCTACCCTTTTTAAGTATTTCACTTAATTTATTGTTACTTTACCCCTCGTTTTACCTGCATTTATTATAAATTATTTCTGTTTTGAGATCATGTACTTGATTTTAAAAAATTACTTGATGTTATATTAATACTAATAACTATGTTTAAGTTGTTCCATAGAGAGCAATATATTTTACAAAGGCTTTCTTTCAACATACAAATAAATTTATAACTAAAATAAAAAACACAACAAAATACCTCGGTATCATAATTGATCAAAATTTGAAATGGGTTGATTACATTACGTCATTAACAACCAAAGTTAGAAGATTAATTTTTAAATTTTATGAATTGAGGAAATTTATGACTAGGAGTTTTCTAATTATTATTTACAATTTGCTGGTTAAATCTATTTTGCAATATGGTATAATGTGGACTATATGATATTGCACTTCAACCCCTTAATGTATTCCTAAATCGTATAAGTAAAGGTATCTACAAAAAACCAGCATTATATCCTACCTCTCTTTTATATAATATAAGAAAATTATATTATCTGTCTACTGTACCTTTATTTATGGAAAGCCTGAATTGAGATACACTACAAATTATTTGCAATAAATATCAAAAGAAGCATACAAACATTTTTAAATAATTTGACATTTAAGAGCCATTCGCACATCACAGTTGACATCTTGATACTTGACAGGCACAACCAAGCATTATTCTGATTTTTGCGAAATTGAATGGCCGGTTAATTATTCTATGGAGTTGCGACAGAGGGCCAGTAAATTTGATGTTATTTTTGTGACTAGGGGCGAAATAGTAGTAAGCTTAACTTAGGACCACCATAAAAAAGTAATTTTTAAGAAACTGCTTATATAAAAGTATAAAGGTCGCAACCGACCTTAGAAATCTCACCTTTACAATCAACAGCTGTTGTTTGACAGGTCGTTGGAGAATGTTTGCAATGTATGGAATGTTAAGAATGTTAGGAATTCGTAAAATTAGTCACATAAGAAATGAATAGGTGGATTTTATGAAAATTTATATGAGGTAACCGAAAATTATGAAAATCAATAGGGTTCTAAGTTAGAAGTAAATATTCAAGAAAATCAAAACCGCAAGTCAATCTGAACTTTCGTTCTAGAGTTATCGTGCCGGCATACATACACACAGATGACCAGACGAAATTTGTTATGCACGAACGCAATACTGAGGCCCCATAGGAAGGGCCTCAGTAATACATTATCAATGCACAATCACTTATTATAAAATAACTAGTAAACTTTTTTTCACAGGACATTCAAGGATATTGCGTGATAC